GACAACCTAAGAAGAAAAATAAGAAACATAATAAGGATTATATCGGACTATTAGGACTTATGCAGACTATACTGAGGGATAAGCCCCTTACTGGAAAAAAAGGACAGAGGGAATCCGATATAAAGACTATTATGGATTATGGAAAGACGAAATATAGTCAATTACTGCTAGAAACGACTTAATACTTAGGACTGCACATACCTAGGATTAAGGGACTATATAGTGGACAAATATGACTAGTGAATGAATTAGAAAAAACTGCTGTAGATTGTAATCGGAACTTTACATGCATAGTGAATATGACTGAGCCAGGGACTAACAAACACTAAGAAATACATAAAAAGACCCTAGAAGAAGAGATTTTTTAGCGCTTCGCGCAAACGTTTAATGAATTTACTCATGTCGTTCATTTTAAAGCTGTTGGAAGTATATCTTTTTTAAACACTTGAACAAGCCATGGCTTGATATATATTTTTGAGCACAGATCCAACCGTTCAACCATTTAAAAAGGCTGTTTTTTACTAAAATCGGGAAAACAGTGCTTCTATAAAAAAAATTCGACATGGGGCTAGCCCCACTATGTACCCCCCCCCCCCTTCTAAACCCAATTTCCCCCCCCCCTTCGCAAAAGTGCTAAAAGCTAGAGAAAGTTTTATTAAATTTTTTTATTTTAAACTGTTGTCGGTGAAAAATGTAAAATAATTAATTACTATGTTAAAATTTATAACTTTAGACTATTTACCTGTTTAACGTAGAAGAATCCAAATACCTCATCACAATAATTACACGTGTACTGTCGTTTCTCAATCATCTAAATTATTTTATTTAAACTTTCATATGAACTGTACGCGAAAAGATTTTATGTCATATCTCTTCCTCCATCAAACAAAAAACAGATCTCAACTCTTAAAATTTATTGATAAGATTTCTTGCCTCTACTTGATTTAAATGAAATAAATGGCAAAGATTGAGTAAAATCTAAAAAAAACTAGGCTTTTAAGGCGCTTCGTGCTTCCTTTTCTATTAGCTATTTTAGCTTTAGTTCTTTCTCTAGAATTCGCCATTTTTATTCGTTCTCAAATTTTCGCGGAATTTGCTTTTTAGCTTATTCAAAAAATAATAAATGTCGACATTTTTGTACGGACTAAATGTTCCAACTATGACGGTCTATGTACATTGTACCTTCAATAGGGTCATGTAAGTTGAGACAAGAAATGTGATTGGTTTAGCTGTTTTGACATTTATTATGAAACGGACAAACAGACAAGCCAAGTATTATATTCATATATTTGATCTGGACCTGATGTTGAGTCCTGGCGTGTTTCTGTAGATTTTCAGGAAAAGCATATTGCACCCCACATTCAGCACAAGTATACTTACTTTTCAGTTCCTGGACAGTGTTAAGAGTTATTATTATGATTAATCAGTTCTTTGCTAGGGGTGTAATGTATATTTTCTCCCCCCCCCCAGTTTTGAAAATAATGTTTTCCCCAGAAAAGTAAAGTATGTTTTTATGGGGAAAATTCAAGATTTTTAGGAAATAGTAAAAGAATTTTTGGGAAAAAAGTTTAAAAAGGAATAAAAAACTTGCATGTTGATGTTCAATTTTTCATCCCTTATATCATTAAAAATCATTTCCTCAGGGGGGGGTGGGGTGAGTATGATGCAAAGAACTGTTTTTGCATTACGCTACTTCATAATATTTCAACAGAATCCCGGAGTATATAATAATTTCAAGCTCTGGGGAAAATAATGAAAAAATTAATAAAACGAGGCAATTATGGTCTAATCCTTTATGATACTAATTATTTACAGTTTCTTTTTTCATTAATTTACCCCAATTCAGTAGATAAACCCTTCAAAATAACATAACATAGATCTAATGCAAAAAAAGTTTCCTAAGGGGGAGGGGAGCTCATTTTCCAAGAAAATATATACCCAGCTAAAGCTTAATGTATCTCCTAAATTCTACTAAAAGATCAGATTTCTTTTCCCAAATTTTTACTTCAGATCAATGATTAGCCAGTATCTAAAAACAAATTATCTTTAAAGCATGCTTGAGACGGTAGGCTTGTATTTCCAATTTCATTTGCTAATGGAAGCAACACTGACCTAATGTTGTATTTAGACAGAATGCACTTTATAACATACCTTTAGGACTTGCTTAAGTGGGTATGCCTCTATTTCTTTAGAAGTTTCCAGACTGAGAATTTTCTGAACATCCCTCTGCTTCCTTGATTTTTCTTCTTTAACCCAGTAAAGCTGGGCTCCATGACAATTGATAATATGATCCTAAACACATTCAAATTATGACAGCTATACAAATATACAAATTATACAACATGTATTCTAATATCTAATATCTTAATGATACAATAGAAAAACAAGATCATATCATACAATAGTTTTAGCAGTGCTTAGGATTCAGATCCGTAAGATCCGCAATATGTTTGCTTCCTGGATACGGATCCGGATCCGGATCTGAAAAATGTCCAGATCCATGGATCTGGAATGAGAAAAAAACTTCTTGAAGCAAGCTTTTTTCTTCAAATCTGTTCAGAAATATTAAAGGGCCTGAAAAAAAGACTTTTAATGATTAGCGTTCTTTACTGACCTCTCGATGAGCAATTGTCTTAAATTTTTCTTGGCAGAATCTACAGATTTGTTGAGACCTTCCCTTACATTCATCCTTAAACACAATATTATTATCTACAACATTTCTCACGCTCCGAGACATAAAGGGGGCAGGGGAAAATTAGGGGGCCGTCCTCCTCCTTGGGAAATTGGGGGCACATTCCCCTGAAAAATGTTAGGCCACAACTATAGAGGGGGACAACTGTAGTCCCTTTATTAGATTTATTGGATTTAAAAAAAAATCCTGTGGCGCCACTTTCAGTCAAAATTTTGTCTTCAAGGGCTTTTGGCAGGATTTTGACTTAAAAATTACCAAAATACCCTAATATAATTTTGAGGGGGGAGGGGGGGGATAAAATAATTTAAAATAATTTATCAAATTTTTTTCAGGCCTTAATAACCGTGAACTTGGAACGCCATTTCAGCAATCTAAAGTTAACTGATGCTATGATTCCTTTACATTGGACAATTTAAACCAATAAATTGAGTTCATTCTATTCCTAATTTTGAATGATACTTACAGACAATGGGGACGGGTGTTTGATAGAATAGTGCCTGGAGAGGCCTGAAGGTCTACTAATCTTTAACCCACAGGTAGAACACTGACAGGATTTATCCTAAATATTCAGACAGGGTTCACAAAACTCCACTCAATATTGATTAAGGGGACAGAAAATACAGATTTACATACATACATTTTTTACTTAACCATCATTTAACTAATTTACCAAAAAAATATTCTTTTTATATGTTTCTTTTTTACAGACAAGATATTTTATTAACGGGGTGTTACTTACTCTACATTACTAAATAATAAAATTGTTGTTAAACCAAAACAAGTAACAATATAAGATCTGAAAAAGAAACCAATGTGTAACCCCAAACTTTACTGTAAAAGTTAAAAATGTTTTCTTGTTAAATATATAAAAAATGTTTTCTTGTTAAATATATAAAAAATGTTCTCTTGTTAAATATATAAAAAATGTTCTCTTGTTAAATATATAAAAAATGTTCTCTTGTTAAATATATAATGTTAAATATATAAAAAATGTTCTCTTGTTAAATATATAAAAAATGTTCTCTTGTTAAATATATAAAAAATGTTCTCTTGTTAAATATATAAAAATGTCTCAGAATTGACCATAGTTGAACGATACCTTAGTGTGGGACTGAATGTGTAGTTGAAAATGATCCTGTCTGTTAAATCGTTTACCACAGAAATCACAAGAGTGTTCACAGCTACCAGGACTATGTTTCTCTCTAGAAGCAAAAATCAATTCATATAATAATTCATAAACTACTATTAAAGAAAGAGATTAAATAATAACAAAAAACCAAAATCGTTGAATATTTAATTTGCATTGAAAGAAAGTACTAAAAGTTGGGTTCAAAATAAAAAAAAAACATTTTTAATAATGATAAAAAGTAAAAATTATTGAAACAAAAGAACTGCTAAAACATATTCGTTATTATTGTTTCGTACAAAGTAAGTAAAAAGCTAAAATTGTCATCAATATTATATAATGTATATAATGTAGACTGGATTTGACAATCTTTTGAAGAACAAACTCTAGAATAACAACAATTCAATGAGGTATATAAGACAAAATCTGTTATCACCTATAGTGCGTTCCCTTGAATAGATAAGAAAACCTTATTGGTTCGAACATTTTATGAAATTGTTCTTTAGAAGAATGTTGTTCAGAAGTTTGTCTTAACATTAAGTGTTCTGTAAGACAGTAAATACCTGTAGTGAGCATTCATGTTGGGCCAAGTAGCATAAAGCTTGAAGCAATCAGGGCATTGATACGTCTTACCAATACTTTCCCTGCAAAATTAAACTAAGTTCTAAGTTATCTTCGGTATGATCAGGATTATCAGGAAAAAGATCTGAAAGTCAACTAAGTTGGAGAACCCAAACCGCCATAGGATGAGCGCTCTCAAACACAAAGTCCAGGGGTATGCCCTACCAAAGCCTGAATAGGACACTCCCAGGGAACAAGACAGTAGACAATCTACCTAATAGATACATAACAGGATATCTTTATGGGGTGGTGAGTGTATGACACCAGTTCTCGTTAGATCACTGAAGTTAAGCACAGTTGTCTACAGCCAGTAACTGGATTGGTATCCAGACTGGTGTTTACGGGTTCGATTCCAGTACTCCACACAAACCTATGGTTTCAAAAACATCTGAAGCCGACATCTGGTTAAGCAGTTATCACCACCTGATGGTTGTAGGAGGACAGAGAGGCGGCTGTCAACAACTCTCGCGCCGAAAGGGTACATTCTTTCTACACAACAAGAAAGAAGCTTTAAGTGGATTGATCCAAGTGAATGATGATGAGAAGAGGAAAGATGGACAAGCAGGGAGAGTCTATGGTTGCCAGCTTTAGGTACCTGAGGGTATCCAATACGGGCTTAAGAAGGACGGGCGGATTTTTGGTAATGTCAATTTGGTAATGACAATTTGGTAATGACAATTTGGTAATGGCAATTTGGTAAGGTCAATTTGGTAATGTCAATTTGGTAAGGTGACAATTTGGTAACGACAATTTGGTAATGACAATTTGGTAAGCTCACAAAAGTGACAATTTGGTAATGACAAATTGGTAACTACAAAAAAGTGACAATTTGGTAATGACTAAGTGGTAAAGTCATAAAAGTGACAAATTGGTAACGTCATAAAAGTGACAATATGGTAACTACAAAAAAGTGACAATTTGGTAATAACATTTTGGTAACTACAAAAAAGTGACAAATTTGTTGATAAAAATAAAATTTAATTCAATTTAATGTTTAATAATTAGCTGTTTCTCACATTATTTAGGGTTAGGTTAGGTTAAGACAATTTCCGGGCCGAGCGCTGCGGCTAGGATGGGCTAGGGGGCTGAGCGCTGCAGCCTATTAAAAGTTTAATTGTGTGCTGTTTCTCTCATTATTTTGGGTTAGGTTAGGTTAAGACAATTTCTGGGCCGAGCGCTACGGCTAGGATGGGCTAGGGGGCCGAGTGCTGCGGCCTATTAAATGTTAAATAATGTGCTGTCTCTCTCAATATTTTTGGTTAGGTTAGGTTAGGTTAAGACAATTTATGGGTGGAGAGCTGCGGCTATGGTGGGCTATGGGGCCGAGCACTGCAGGCTATTAAATTTTAAGTAATGTGCTGTTTCTTACATTATTTTGGGTTAGGTTAGGTTAAGACAATTTCTGGGCCGAGCGCTGCGGCTAGGATGGGCTAGGGGCCAAGCACTACATATAAAAAGTAACATTAATAACTTCCTAACATGGACATACATAAAGTCCGTTCTTGTTGTAGTATTTAAATCCTTCTGAATCTTGTAACATTTTGCCACCCCTCTAGGGGTGATGAAAAAGTAATTCATGATCCAAGTCTCCTCTTTTTGCAGTATATGACACAAGTGCAGGTTGAAACGTGGTTTTTAGAAAATATTGCGAATTTTACAATTATTTTTGGCGCATTTCTTTTGTGCAGAAATAAAAGATTCCTATAATCAATTATCTTTAATTGAATATAAAACTAAAAATTAATCAATTTTACATAATGTCACTTTTATTTCGTTTACCAAATTGTCACTTTTATGACGTTACCAAATTGTCACTTTTTTGTTGTTACCAATTTGTCATTACCAAATTGTCACTTTTGTGAGCTTACCAAATTGTCACCTTACCAAATTGTCATTACCAAATTGTCATTACCAAATTGTCATTACCAAATTGACATTACCAAAAATCCCCCCATCCTTAAAAAGGATTGGGAGCAATGAGTGTGATGTTTCCTGTCTGTATGGCACCTGGGTCTTATTCCAGTATATCAGAAGAATTCCTGCATTCTATTGTAACCATCCCCAACCCCCCCCTCCCTGCTGAGGATGGGTATTGAGCATGGAAAATTCTTCAGGACAAATCAACCCAAACCTAGCCCCCCCCTTTCTCCCCCTGCTCCAGCCGCCTTATCTAGTGTTGCCCCCTACAGGGGTTGACCAGCCAGCTGGCCCCAGGATTAAGAATTGGCGGGATCTGGGTTCAGAACACAGAGAGGGAAAGAGAAAGAAGCCAGTTGTGCGCTAGCTCTCACAAGGAGAGGATGAAGACATTCGCCAACTCCCCACAGTGGTAAGAAGCAGTCAGTCTAAAGGAATAGAAACTGCTTGGACGGATTGGAGCTGTGGGAAAACAACATGCTGAAGGAGATTTGTTACCAGAACAAAGATGGTGCCAGAAGAGATATGTTGCCTGAGGGGATATGTTGCCTGAGGAGATACCATGTTGAAGGTATCTAGCCAAGGAGTATCTAGCCAAGGAGTATCCAGCCAAGGAGTATCCGGCCGAAGGAGTAACCCATCACTGAGTGCCAAATCTGTGTCTCTTGACTTTAGTTATTTATTCCTTCATTTTGTTTCTTTTTAATATAGATGTTCAACTACTTTGTTCTTTTATTGGTGTGTGACTTGAAGACTACTAGAGTATTGTTACCCCCTTTGGGGGTATCCTTTCAAATACAACACTATTATTCTCAGGCCTAAGAAGCCCTTAGACAGCTGGAATCTTCTCTCTTCTCAACTCTCTTCTCAGTATGAATGAAGCGTGGATGGATGAATGTGCTGCAAGATTACAACCCCTGGTAGATCAATATAAATCCATACAACACCAAACTTTTGCAATAGAAAAATTCCGAATTTGATCGTAACAACCTGACATGTCCTTGGGACTAAAAAATCTCTTTAAAAAAGGATATGTTAGCATGTGTGCAGAAAGTTTATTCTTATTATTTGCATGCAGCCTCAATTTAGGTCATCTACACGGATAACGAAGGTCATTGACCTTCATTTAGACCTCCATAAAAAAAAATTGCGCATTTTAATTTTAATTTGATTAAACGTGTTTTCATACTTTTAACAAAAACATAAGTCATGCATGCACTAACAGAAACACATAAACCTGACCTCCAGCTTGACCACCTTTAAATAATGATTCAATAATGATTCTAAAGGTCACTGACCTCAAGGTATTAACGACATCCGGAGATCAAAATATTAAATCATTTAAATGGGTTATGTGAGGTATCAAATCAAAAGTTTTTGGTGATCTGGTATCACAAAAAGACCTATTTTTGACCTTAGATGATTATAAAGGTTGTTAAATTTCTAAATATCAAAGACCTCCGGAGGTCAATATTAAATCAATAGAATAATTGATAAAATCTGTTAAATGAAAGGAATCTGAAACCTTTATAGTTAGCAGATTTATAAAATCATAATCAAATCATAATGGGTTATCAAAACCTAAAAACAATGATTTAATACATAACATGACCCATTTTCTTGCTTTTATGATTTGATCTTCTGACCATCAGAACACCATAAACCTTTGATTTAATACCAAACATGGCCCATTTTCATTAATTTGATATTTTGACCTCTGAACCCCCTCCCCCCCCCATTTTAATAAAAAGTATGCAGTGTTTAGATTTGTTAATATTTGGACCTTTCGGTACAAATATTTACCAATAACTATTAACTGACTCATCTTCATTCTTCATAGACTGAATTGAGGGGAAAAAATTTAAAAAAAGGGATTGCAAACTTGGAATATATACATATTCAGATTGCAAACTTGAAATATATACATACATATTCAGATTGCTAACTTAAAGTATATACATATTCAGATTGTAAACTTGAAATATATACATATTCAGATTGCAAANTCAAACTAAACATTTAATAATAATAATAATAATAATAATAATTCTAAGATCAGAATAGAAACCCAATATGGAACCCCCAAACCGCCCTAATGATGAGAAGAAGACGCAGCCACATCATCTAATATAATTGAAGAATCATCAAATTAATAAATCAATCGTCATACTCCAAAAGCTCTGAAACCTATCAATTCTTTCAAAAAATGGGAGAGGGGAAGGTGTTTTCTAGAATAAGGGTATATGAGAATAAATAGACTTAATGAAAATACAAAAGCCCAGTATAAATTTACATTAAGGCTAATAATGTCCCTAATGTCTAATTAACAATTAACATACCCTTTCTTGCACATCAGATGACAGTAAACTAAATGCTTCTTGAGCTCCGATGCGAAGGGAAATTTCTAAATATTAATATTCTATCTATAGTATCAACACTCACATTGGACAGTTATTTTGCTTAGTAATATCATCATTCTTATTTTACTTTATTTTGTTAAAGTAAAAGTACTAATTTATTAGAAATATTGAAACAAATAGAAGAAAAAAAGATTTCTTTTAGGTGACAAAAAAAAGGAGAAAATATTATAGAATTTGAAAACTATTTCTCAAATGTAAAATGTTTAACAATACACGGGTTAAATTCATATTACTTTAAATTTCAATTTTTTTAATTCTAACATTCTTGATTTAATGAATAGCGAGAAGAAACTGAACAATGCAGACGTAGTTTAACCACTTCTATAGTCTAGTCATTTCAAGCTAAAGATAACATCTACTGTAACGTAGTTCAACCATGTCTCTAGTCTAGTCAGTTCAAGCTAAAGATAACATCTACTGTAACGTAGTTCAACCATGTCTCTAGTCTAGTCAGTTCAAGCTAAAGATAGCATCTAATGTAACGCAGTAGTCATAATTTTATAATTCGGTCATACCATTTTCATTCAGATATTGACAACTCTGTTAGTCATAAAATATTTTTGAAATCCTCGGCTTGGACTTGGACTTTACCCCACCAACTTACTTATACTTTTTGAGGCCCTAGGCAAATTTTTTTTAAATGCAACCAACTTGTTTCTAGTTAAGCTTAAAAGGAGTAATTGGCAAAACACTGCTTGATTATTGCGTAAAAGCGTGCACATCTTGGTTTGAAGTACTTTTGAAATGCAGAGTCAGTTGAAATTACGTCTACAGTCCCTTTAAGTAAATTATAAAGCCGACTATTACCTTTTCACTAGAGCATACACAACATTTAAAGGATGTAGTGGTCTTTCCTTTACCTTCTGTTGATCTAAAACAAAACAAAAAATAATGGTATTCCTACTTTTACGCGCTCTTCTTATAATTAACACTAGCTGAAGGGCCCGGCGTGCCCGTAGAAAAAAAAATTCGAATTTTATTTAGCCTGAGTCTCCACAAGAAAATTCAGCCCAATCGGTCCAGCCGTTTGGCCGGCCATAGGCAACATGGATATAAATACGATTTAGAACAGTACACACTTCACAGTACAGACTTCTGTTTTACAAAAATCATAAACAACTTGTAATCTTACATAAAGAGTCTAGCAACAGAATATATATTAATAAATAAAAAACTTCATACAATTTTTCCTCCAATATGGCATTGCCCTTGTGACAAAGCCGCCAAAAACTTAATCTTGCAAGGACTAAATTATGCAGGCTATCGCCCATGTATTTTCTCAAGTGGTGGGCATGAGAAATGAGGCGAATAAAAATATAAATAAACCCCAACTGAAATCTTGCATAAAGTCATACCATAGACCTTTCCCCATGCATAACATTTTACATTCAGGAGGAAATTTTACTGTTTGTCTGAAAACATTTAAAATATGAGTAAATCAATAGAATACTTTTTATTTAAATATTAACTCCAGTTTGAATATTAGAATTTACCTAATGCAACCCTGGTCAGTCTTTTCCGTTAACCATCTATTAATATCAGCAAACTTCTTCTAGAAAAAATCATTCTTAACAAACTAGATACAGGAGACTAGGAGAATATGGGGGAGGGGGGGGCTGGGACCCTTTGGGAAAACAGAAGTCATGGTCGAATTCTAAGATGCGTTAAACAGATTCAGAAACTAGTGATATAACGAGTTCAAATAAATAAAAGATTTTGAAGATGAGGATTAAGACCTAATTGAGTCCTAACTAAAATTTTCAAAGGGCAAAAAATAAAAAAAATGTATGGGTCACACAGTCGCACCAGTTATTCTTTTAAATTTTGTCTCTTTTCCGATTTTTAGATAAGATAAACCCTCTTAAAGGGACCTATCACTTATTTGGGTAATTTCAGGGTAAACTTAACAGCCTATTTGCTCTCGATTGGTAATAGTTTTACTTTTCAAAGACAACTGTGGCCGGAGAAAAAGCTGATTTTTCGTTCAGAAATTGAGCTGAAAGAGACAGTCCCTCTCTATAGACACTAATTGATGTTTTTTTCAGTGTGTTGTGGATCAAAATAAATTTCGAATATAAAATTAAACTATAGTATCTAATCGTTAATTGTAAAAGTCATTATTTTTTTTTTTACTTTTTATTTCTAAAATAGCACTATTTTATTGCATTCAAAATTGTGTATTGCCTGTGTTGTTGTGTACATACGGGAACAAAATCTACAAAATCTATGAACCAAAACACGAGTAATGATTAATTGATTGTCGTCTTTTTATACGAAAAACGTAAATTTCTTGCTAACTCAAATATCAAAAGTTTTCATATCTTAGTACATAATAACGAACACATAATGACATTAAAATATAATAAATTTAAATGTTATTGGGCTGCTGTTACGAAAAAAAAACTTCAAATAGTGTCTATTGAGAGGGACCATCCCTTTCCGCTCAAATTCTGAACGAAAAATCAGCTTTTTCTCCGGCCACAGTTGTCTTTGGAAAGTAAATCTATTACCAATCAAGAGCGAATAGGCTGTTTAGTTTACCCAAATAAGTGAACGGTCCCTTTAAGTTCTCCTCTTATTAAAGTTTATTACCTCGATATCAGCTACATTTTCTATTAAACTGTCCAGCTTGTCTTCAGATAAAGAAGTTCTGAGAATAATTAAAACATTAACAACATCTATTGGACAATATTTTCATACCAAAATAAAATAAATTCAACAATTTCCTAGTTAGGATCTTCTGGTCTAAGAAGGCATAAGGCAATAAGATATACTTACTTCATTAATACTGGTTTAAGTTTCTTATTCTTAAATCTGAGTGGTTCACTGATAAATTGATAATCCTCGGATTTATTTTTACGTTTGCTGGATTCCCCAAACTTTACATACATTTCTTTTCACGTTTATTTCATTTTCTTCACTTCCTACATTAGACACAAAAAGACACAAAAGTCCAACAGATGTATGGCTAAAATCTTCTCTAGATAGTTATTAAAATTTTCGAATTTGAAATTATTCTGATTTGTAGCAATTTAGCGGCAAAGCTAAATAAAAGAAAATATTTTTTTTTGGTTGATTGAGCGTGAAATTTCATCAAAAACAATCTGAGTTATTTCCTGTAGTGTAAGGGCTTAATAGATCCAGATGAAGACGCAGCCACATCATCTAATATAATTGAAGAATCATCAAATTAATAAATCAATCGTCTAATCAATCATTTACAAGTCAATCTTACAAGGGTTGAACTAAGCATGGAATATAGCCTTAAAGGAAGTGACGGGTTGGGTCTGAGTGGGGTTGGTAGTTGAACTAAGAGTGCAGTGTTAAGAAACAAAACAGCAGATTCATTTGATACCATAAAACATTTTTACGTTATATAATAGCTACATAAGATCGAAAACTCGTTCTTGCAGAATTATCGTTACATTTTCCTCCGTTTACCAAATCATTTTTAAAAATCGAATTTTGTGACAACCATCCAGATTTCTCCAGCCTCGTGATTTTTAAACAGTAAGTTAATGAACTTCTATATGTACCAATAATAGAAAGTCAAAATCCAGATTTTTTATTTTTAATACTGCACGCTCAGTTCGACTATCATACCTAGCCAGACACTCTTTTTTTTTAAAAAAAAACAGTGCTTAGGATTCATTTCATTTTGATGCGAATCCTAGCTGGATCTTTTTAAACAAAAGCAGAATTTTCAAATATTTTCTTCCTTTTCTCGCTTATTTTAATGAACTTGATAAGCTGTTCAGAAATAAAGAGTTGTTCAACATTTCACTCCCCCCAGGATCCAGATCCGGTTCCATGAATCCAAAATGTTGCGGATCCAACGGACCCGGATCCAAAGCACTGTAAAAAAAAATCATCATGATTGAAATCATTTTTAATTTTTAATAAAAAGAAATGATTCGATCAATCAAATGACTAAGAATATTTGCTACCTAATGCGATTTCTTCATCCTCGACTTTGATATCCTCAGACTCGGAGCCTCCGCTATCTACGCCTAAAATCATGTAAGGGGTAAATATTGTTTAGAAATAATTTTGGTTGATTTCAGGATTATACTTCTTTTCCAACCCCGAAACTAATCTATTTTACCCATATGCTAGTTACAAACCTCATAAAAGTTCTTTCCAAAATTTGGACAATCATAAATTTCCTAATATTGAACAAATTTTGCAAAGCTCTTTAATCAGACAAACTGATAAATTTTCCTCCCTAAAGTTTTAAAAAAGAATCGGACGAATGTAATCTGATCTGAGGTAGGAACTCTGGTATTGTGGATATTGAAATAAATGCTTGATATCGATCTTTTGATAATCTACAGCTTTGTTCATTATTTACATGGTATACATTATCCAGTTGAAATCGTAGCCATCAGGAATAACGAAAACGAAAAGATCGAGCATAAATCATTAAATCAAAGTAGCCTGCAGTGGATATCGAGTTTGAGTGTTCGGAATTATGTGTATTGTGTATCCAAAAAAAAAAGTTCCCAGCTCCGAGAATAGAACTTTGGAACGATAAACACCTATTGAAAAGTCAGAATCAGGGAATAGGAATAAAGGGAAAGGAAATGGCGCTGGTCTGGCATGAGAAAGCCAGTTGCACTGCTTTGCAGACCAGTACGGTAAACCTTACACACACTCTTTTGGTACAGACACACAACATGACTACAGTCTAGGAAATTGCAGAACAACGTCGTCAATTATAATTAAACTTGAACAACGAGTAGTTTATTGTAAACTTTAATCGAATTATATTTTTTGCATGAAAATTTGGCTTCAAAGTGTTCACTAAAATATGGAAATAATATATTACATGCATATTAAACTTATTTTTAAGTAAACAATTAACATTAAACAAAAGGTCAGAATTGATCAGAAACTCGTTATTCAAACAATCCGAGTCGACCCTTCTCCAGTTGTCCGACAGTAGTTATTAATGGATCATTGTTCAGATCAGATCTTCAAAAGAAGTTGGTCGATTCATAAAATAATGGAAATGCTTTATGTAAGGATTAAAAATACACAAGTTCTGATCGCTATATTCCAGGGAACAGGAAAAATCATTGCTACAAATCAAGGGGGAAGGGGTTATCAATAAATGAAAAATTAATTTGTTTTTGATCGAATGATTAAGAAAATTTTAATGAAAAATGTAACGCAAATTACATTTATTAATTAAATCTATCATTACCTTCAATTAGACTTGGATCTTTCATTATCTCTGAAATAATTTAAAGTTTAGAAACTTATTTCTCACAAGTCTTACATGTTAAAAAACAAAGTACCTATCTCTGAAAAATTGCTGCAACCATAAAATTGCGAAATTTTCATAATTAAGTTGCGAAAATCAGCTTAGAAATAAAACATTCATTTGAATACATATATTTAAAATGAAAATATAACACAACGGTAATTAGCCAATTCAGAAGTTTCGCAAATTGGCGACCTGCTCATATTAATTATTTTTTCATTACAATTATTGTGAGACTCTCAAGAACATCAGGTTAGGGTCGATATTAGGAACTGTATTTCTTGTATTTCATAAAACATTGATACAAAAAATGTAATTATCTAAATATGAACATTGAACGTTTTTCTTTATTGGAGAAACAGTAAAATAATTCCAAGTTATGAGTATGATGAGAAAAATATACTTTTCTCTTTTTATAGTACAGGGAATCAAAGTTCCTAACCGTGATTTGGCCTTGACCTGGCACAGAGTGTTAGGTTTGGGTCAACTGTGCAAAGTTATCTTTTTTAACAGTTTATATTTATTTATTAAGCCGAGAATGATAAACCGTGTGCATACTTCAATTTAGAATAGTTAAGGCTACATTTTTAAAACAAAATTTTAAATATTAAAACCTAAAAGAAATTTCAATTGTTAATGATTATTGATTTCTGAAGGAAGTTTGGACACAAAACACGTTTTGGAACATGTCGCGATCTTGAGACATTTCACAGATTTAAATCAATGATACTTACAAGCATTTACACATTCTGTAACAAAACATATTTTTGTATACAGTAAATTTAAATTATGAAACAATAAAAAAAAGTAAAAAATATATTCTGTTTGGATATTTTAAAATATAACGAGTTAAAATATTGAACGTTTCTAATTTCAATATTTCATTGTTCTTACTATTAAACAGAAAAATGCCTGAAATTTAATATCAAAAGTAGACGAAACTTGAAATCACCCTTTAAATTAATGTTGAAACAAATTTTAGAATAATTTATAAGATAAAAAATATTTTCAGTGATATATGCTATTCGGTAAACTATGAAAGTGCGTTATGTTCTTAGTTGTTGAATATTCTCAAATTATGGATTGTTATTAAGTTGGTTTATATTCCAAAACGCGTCCAAGATTCGTGACTGTGCGGAAATGAAAAACATTGAATTGTTTTTAAAAAGGTATGGGTTTGTATAAAACTTGTGTTAGTTTGAGTTATGGTCGTGCTTAATAATATGTTGGAAATGGTTAATTTAATTGATATTCGCACTCGGCACAGGGAGAGTTACTAAAATCGTTAATCATAATATTTGTGCCCGAACCTAGCGTCAGGTTTGGAACATACGCACGAGTTGGAATTCTCTTCCCCTGTAATAAAAAAAATCAACTGTTTCACCCTTTGTGTACTATTGCGATATTATTTATTTATGAATTTAAAAAAGATTATGATTCATAGTTTTTTTTCTAGGGAATAACACCGTTATTTCAATGGACCCTTCTTTTCAATTGTTACATGAATGGAAAAACTTAAACCAAGTTGTCAGAGGAATGATGGAGAGATTTAAAAGGAACTATTGTAAATTGGGCAAGTTATATTTCATTGAAAGTGTAAATAGAAATAACGGCTTTAGTCCTTTTAATCGATTTACGATAGAATACATCTAAAAGGACAGTTCCCGACCATATTAATGCTTCATTATTTCAATCTTGGGTTTGTTTTATTTTGTAGTATGATCATTCTAGAACATCTGAAATGTTTTTAATCTTTTTTTCATCGTTCACGCTCTTTTCTGAGTCACCATTTTTCTTTGAATCATCCTCTTTTCTTGAGTTAACATCTTCAGCTACAGATGAACACTCTACGGTGGGTTCACTAAACAGAACAGTTATAAATAAAACAGATAATAATCATTCACATTGTTTAGAATTAGAACCGGTTTTATTTATTTGTTCTGATTTGAGCTGGGTCCTGATCCAGAAAAGCATTTTTCAGCTGGTCGCATCCACATCCGCACATTTTTTGGGGGTAAAAATGAAGAATTAAAGTTACAGTCTTATTTTTAAATGTCCCCCATAATTCAGGGGGAGATCTTTTTACAATAAGCTTTGAAGGCATTTCCCGAGTTAGTTCTTGAAAACATAATTCCTCAGAAGCCGAATTTAAAGAATTTTAGACGCGGTTCAAACATAGTTGGTTCAGCTGGAAATGCTAACAAGTGTTTCGAGATTTGAGCCGGCGCTCAGTAGGAACCGGTTATTGCGGTTCAGCGGCACGGTTCAAATTCTTTAAACTCAGCCTCAGCTTACATAAGTGTGCAGGTCGGAAGGGTGGTCATCTGGGTGAGGATACGTCCACTCCCCAGCACTGTGGGAGGGACTTTGGATATACTCTGGGCCTGTCGAACACCAGCTAAAACACGAACAATTTCAATTTTATTTATTTTGATACTCTAAATAAATCGTTTCATGTTCCACATTCAATGCTAAAACTACCCAAAAGCTTAATCAATATAGGTAAAACAGTATAAAAACTACTAATAGAAGGATTGTTTATTGTTTAATTTGTTAAGAATTATTGGTGAATTTCACAGTGCTAAGAATTTAAGGTAAAAATGTAAACCAAACACACTGCAGAAAATGGACCATCAGGTTTCAAGTCAAAACACCTAAACTTTTTCTTAGGAATAAATTTATATGCAGTGTAATGAGTTATAATCTCAATTTTCAGAAAACGCCACCTTTTGAGCAAATCAATTCTGAAGAAATTGTTGAAATCAAGTGCATTCACATGTCTAAAATTGAACGAAAATTTTGTTTCAAGACTTATATCTGCTTCTTCTGTTTTTTTACGGCATTTTTTTAACAGTACATGACATGGTCTCCAAGTTTATAATTATTCTTTAAAAGACATGAAAAATATCAAAGCAAAAGATCAAACTAAGTCAAATACCTGACTGTCAAAATACGGCCCCAAAAAGTCGAAATTGTTAAGAGAGTAATTTTTGAAATTAAATTGGTCCATAAACCTTCCCTGGGGTCATGTGAAGTCCCGCTCAAAATTTGGGTCCGATCGATTCCACAATTTTGACGTTTATTGGATACAAACAGACAAGAAAAGTAGATAGATTTATCCCTGTAAAAAGATAATGCTGATTACCTGTTTGAAAGTTACTGCCTGGTCCAGAAAAAAATTCCGCCGGTACATAATCAAACTAAACATTTAATAATAATAATAATAATAATAATAATTCTAAGATCAGAATAGAAACCCAATATGGAACCCCCAAACCGCCCTAATGATGCAAAGCATCAAAACGCAATCTGAATTCCATCCGGGCTAAACAAGACATTCGTATATATGTTCCCAATAGCCGGCAAAACGGCTGGACCGAATATGGACTGAATTTTTTGTGGAAACTAATGGTTTATGTGAAAATAATAGATTTTTTAACCCGTCACCCCTGAATCTCGGGATGATAAAGTTGATTTTATCTTATACACAGATCTACGGATTTATTACATTTCTCTTCGATATCCCTTGATGGTTATGCTATGCAGGAAAACCTTAAATTAAGGGATCACGCATTTATCCTCAAGTTTACAAGGATATCGAGATTCAGGGTTCACAATTAGTAATTCTCAACACTAAGTTCCGTTCTCAGGTTGAACAATTGAACAATGGAGTTTTTCATTAAGTTATTGACAGAGAAATATAATCAAAGTAAAGTGAAGTAATTCGATATCCCACATCGTACCCAGTCAGAGGTTGAAAGAGAGCTTAAATAAAGAAGAGATTAAGCATTGATTCTAAAATTTAAAGTGCCCAAAGTAGATATTGAGATCAAACGTTCAGGATTATGAGAATTGATTATCTACCACAGAGTTCCCGGCTCTTTTATCAAAGATAAAAATTTCTTCATCTTATTATTCACATTTTTTCTACCTTTTGTGGAGGAGGATTAACAGGTTCAGATCCTTTCTCGGTCTTAGAAGAATTCTGAAAATAAAAAAATACTACTTACTACTACTAAAATACTAATTTTTTTCCCCAGAGGAATGTTTTTTTAAATTACACCCCCCTCCCCGGAAATGATATTTGAAGATCTGGGGGGGAAAAGTAAAATTGAACTTGATAAGGGGCAAATTTTTTACATCCTTTTCATACTTTATTCAAAAGTTTATCTTTTTCCTAAACATCATTTATTTTCCCACTTGAGCGAAAAAAAAACTAAAAAAATTCAATTATGGGGGGAAATTTCAGGAAAATATACACCCCTGTTTTCAAATATTGCCCCTAAACATGTTAAATTTTTTATCGAGAATGCCCCCATCCAAAGGAACTTTATTTGAAGGAATTTTTTGAGAAAATTTTAAGTTGGACTTGAACTTACATTTTAACTTTTAATAATATTTTCTTCTTAATAACTAAATTTTCCATTAAAGTTTAGATTTTTCTTGAAAGTACTTACCTAGCTGAAGTAATGAATAAGTTACAAAATTGTGTTAAGATACTAGCCTTAGAGGGCACTTATATTTATATGTAGAAGAGGACAAGAAATAAGGGGTAAATATTTTCAAGAAGTATATTATAATACATTTTACCCCTGGTTATTCTATAACTTACCGGTGTATAAGATTTACTGTCTGTAACATCTGAGAGGGTTGGATACCGGGATACATTGAAGGATATTGTGTTTACGAAGGAGTTGAAGGAGTGACTGTTGATCTGAAGAAAAATATAATTCTATATTTTTTGTTCTAGAACTTGCTACTCAGCAGTTACAAGGGCGTCACAAAAAACTTTTTTTCTTTTTCCAAAATTAGCCGAACATGATGGAAGATGCACGAACCAGAAGAAAATGGACATCAAGAAAAACATAAGTGTCAAATCTCAAAGTAAATGGCAACCCTCCAAAAATTACGTTGGGCCTTACAAATGAGAATTAGAAGGACTAAGTTATTAATCAGTACTTAAAAAATCCACCAAAAAAAATCTGTAAGTTGATTTAACTTAAACTTATCAAATGAGTTGTTAATTCAATAAATACCTGAAGAGATTGAATAAAGGTATATTAATGCTATTTTGGCTTCGAAATGAACTAATAAGAAAAGGGTTTAATAATGTTGTTACATACCAAATACAACATTTCATTTAAAAAATGGTCAATTATTCTCAGTAATAATTTAATCACAAGAATCTTGCTCATAATAAAAAGGCTAAGGTTGGAAAGAATGAATAAAAGAAACGTTGCCTAAATAAAAAAATTTAAAAAAAAGATAAAAAAATTGGAATAAAATAACTAATATAAAAAATTGGGAATGGATGAAAGGATGAATGAGAGGGATGGAAGAATGGATAAAGGATGAATGCATGAATGAATGAATACCTGTTCTGGAATATAATCACTGGCGTATGAAGGTGGATAACCAGGTAATACTTGGCTAATCTTTACCTCCTGCAATTTTAATTTAATTAATTAATTAATTAAATGATTGCTCGATTGAATGATTGAGCTATTAAACAGATTGAGTTATTAAACAAATGAACAAAGATATGTGGTAAAGAATAATTCACAAAGCTAGAACGAGAGAAAAATGAAAATGCAAGATTTCTTCTTTATTTTACTTTCGCCCAATTTTAGTTAATAAAATTGGTTTATTTATAATTTCTGCCACCACACCTACTCGTCCTTTCGTCCAGGCCCCCCCCCCTGTCACTAAGCTATAGGGAAAATTATGAAAACCTGGCCTCCCTAGATTAATTTTCCCTTACGAGGATTATACTTTTCTATGTGATATTTATATTGTATAAATTTTAATCTTCGTGCAATAAATATTTGATTTGATTTGATTTGATTTAAATAAAACTACTGAATATTCCGTTTAAAAAAAACTTAAAAATAATTTTGCACTCCTGTTTGAATCTAATAAGATCTGAAGAGACCTCCAACGTGAAGACCGTCATAAAGCGTGTTTATCAGAAATAAAGTTATATTTTACGATGTAAGAAAGAAAGAAAGAAAAAAGAAGGAAACATAGAGGGAAAAATGTGACGCCCAATTCATGAATTACATGCCTGATTCACAACGGTACCATTTAAACCTTTATCTGTATTCATCCGTTTTTTCGAGAGGAAAACAAGAATATCTCCGTTTTGTTCAGACAAAGGTTTAAAAATACCATACTGGTTTAAACAGTACCGTACTGGTTTAAATAGTACCGTACCGGTTTACACAGTACTATACTTGTTTAAACAATACCGTACTGGTTTAAACAGTACCGTACTGGGTTAAACAGTACCGTATCGGTTTAAACAGTACTATACATGTTTAAACAATACCATACTGGTTTAAACAGTACCATACTGGTTTAAACAATACCGTAATGGTTTAAACAGTACCGTACTGGTTTAAACAGTACCGTACTGGTTTAAACAGTACCGTACTGGTTCAAACAGTACCGTACTGGTTTAAACAGTACCGTACTGGTTTAAACAGTACCGTACTGGTTCAAACAGTACCGTACTGGTTCAAACAGTACCGTACCGGTTTAAACAGTACCGGACTGATTTTAACAGTACCGGACTGATTTTAACAGTACCGTACTGGTTTAAACATTGCCGTACCGGTTTAAACAGTACCGGACCGGTTTAAATGGAGGTACAGATTCTCAGGAGAATGTCAAGAAAGTGATCTAACCTGGGGTTCTCCTAATACTGAGGGTTCTGTGTAGACAACATCAGGAACCTTAGCTATCAGGGGGATACACTACAATAATATGGTTTATCAGGGGGATACAATACAATAATATAATTTATCAGGGGGATACACTACAAAAATATGGCGTATGGGGGAGATACACTACAATAATATGGCTTATCAGGGGGATACATTACAATAATATAATTTATCAGGGGGATACAATACAATAATATGGTTTATTAGGGGGATACACTATACTAATAAGGTTTATCAGGGAGATCCACTTCAATAATATGGGGGAGATACACTACAATAATATGGCTTTTCAGGGGGATACACTACAATAATATAGTTTATCAGGGGATACACTACAATAATATAGTTTATCAGGGGGATACAATACAATAATATGGTTAATTAGGGGGATACACTATACTAATAACTAAGCTTTATCAGGGAGATACACTACAATAATATGGGAGGATACACTAAAATAATATGGTTTATCAAGGGAATACAATACACCGATATGGTTTATCATGGGGATACACTCCAATAATATGGTTTATCAGGGAGATACACTGCAATAAAATGAATTATCAGGGAGATCCACTACAATAAAATGAATTATCAGGGAGATCCACTACAATAATATGAATTATTAAGCGGATACACTACTATAATAAATATGATTTATCAGGAGTGGACACTACAACACAAATATAAAAGATGAGAGAAATTTAAAACCTTAATTTTGTTACTACTGTGTAATACAAATTTTTTAACAAAAATAATTATTATTGAAGGGGGGGGGGGGGGGTGAGGGAAGGATTAGGAAAACTTAATTTTAAAAAAAAGTTTTATCTTTCTGATATTTTAGAACCTTTTAAAAATTATTATCTTAAATTCTTTGATGAAAACCTAAAATTCCAAAGATAAGTTTTTTTTGGGGGGGGAGGGGAAGGTTTTTACCCCTGTCAACAGTTTTTTTACCTCGGGTAAGACAGGTACAACGATCTGAGCGTTTTGTGGAACTGTTATTGAAAATCCACCTTCTGTTTGTAGTGTTAAAACCTAGAAAGAAAGAAAGGACTGAAGGGACTGTCCTCTTAAGAAATGCCCAGGGAGGCGGGGTGATGATTTTTGAAAATTTTTGAAAATGAATGTTACAAATCGTTGATTTTCAAGTGTTTAATTCTAACAATGTCCTGCATTGTTTTCTGAGGCAAATGTCCTTAAAGAAACAAAATTAAAAACATTACTTATACATTGTACATGAAGTTATTTCTACTTTTCTGCCTTTCATATTTCGTTCAAAGTATTTAAATCGGTTGTTCAAAACTAGAACAAATTTTATTAACAATAACAAATTTAAATCGATTATTTTAAGAAATGAAAATTAAAAATTGAAGGAAAAGAAAACAATGCACAGTGATTCAATCTTTCATTTCTTGTATACAATACACAATGAATAAAAACCAGTAGAATTATATACAGGGATGAGACTGTTATGACGACCCAAAACTCTAAAAATATTACGATTTAAATCTTGATTTATGGTTTCTGTAGTAAACTGAGTATATTAATGGTTTACTAAACAGTTACAAACAGAAAAAAAAAACATTTCTGGCATAAAAGGAATCCTGAATGCAAGACAACGGACTTGATTACTTTCGTACAATCGTCTCTGAAGGCTCATCCTCTGTAGATTACCCAGTATATTTAAAAAATCAACGATTTAAAACTATAAAATGTTGTTCACCTCTGGTATTGTGGTGGCGAGGGCTGCTGGTACAGCGAGGTTAGGAGATATTATTTCTGTTAAGTCCGGCAAATTGCTTTCCTAATATTAGGAATAAAATAACAATTAAAACATTAAGCTGAGTAGTTGCAATCCTAATTTAGGAAACTAACGTAATTACTTCCTTTATTGATATTTAGGAAAAATAAATATGATTAGATACTTTCCTAATAAAACAATGATACAAATAGTTGCTTTCCTAATATTTAAAACAGTAATATTATTAATTTGCTTTCCTAAAATTTTAATGAGAACATAATTTTAAAATTCCCTGATACCATGATACAATAAGTTGCTTTCCTAACACTTATGAAAATAATGTAATTAGTTACTTTACTTCAAAGAGCTTCTACCGTCTTTGCTTTCCTTAAATTTAGGAAAAAAATATGATAAATTACTTTCCTTAAATTTAGGACAATCAATTGTGCCTAAGTCGGCATGCTGATCAGAACTACTAGACTGCTCTCTGCTCTGTATGTGGGCGCTGTGAAAGGCTTTACACATAGGAGGGAGGGAATGCCAAGCGGCCATGAACCCCATGCACGATTAATTAACTTCCTATGTTACTGATACAGTATCTACAGCCGGGGTACTAAGTCAAGAAATAGGAATCTAAAAGAAAGAATAGGAATTTACAAGAAAGAATAGGAATCTACAAGAAAGAATAAGAATCTACAGGAAAGAATAGGAATCTACAAGAAAGAATAGGAATCTAAAAGAAAGAATAGGAATCTACAAGAATAAAGAAGAAAAATAAAAAGAAGGAAATCTAACTAGGAGCCAATAGGTCTAATGCTATTCCGGCTCTACACCAACTCTACTTACTTTCTGGAAGAGCCCTGTTCCACAGCTGATTATAAGACACACTCCCCATGTTTTAAAACGATGGGACAGCATGCTTAGCGGGTTATTTCTTCTTTAAAAAATCTGTCCACGTGGGAATACTCTTACACCCCCATCCTCATCCGCCTACCTCCTAAATTCCAACCTTATCCTACTTCACGAGCAGATATATTGGAACTCACAAACTGATTTACTGTGGAATCTTAATCAAAACTTTTTGAGAGAGATCATCATTGGTATCATGGGTGTTCCTTTCCTAGGGGGTACTCCTAAATCACCTTGAACCTACTCGAATGCAGTTAAGGCTAAGAGATCTTTTAAATTTCTTATTAAATACTGCAAACACTGACCCATGTAACTCAATAATATAATTGATTACTTCTAATATTTAGGAAAATAATGTAATTAGTTACTTTCTCATAACATTTAGTAAAATAATATGTATAATTAGATACTTTCCAATGATACAATTAGTTGATTTCCTAATATTTAGGAAACTAACATAATTGATAGCTTTTCTAAGATTAGAACAATAATATAGTAATTGCAACACAAATTGATGCTTTCCTAATATTAGGACAAAGATTAGCTACTTTCCTGATATTAGGAAGATTAGGTACTTTCCTGATATTTAGGACAGAGATTATTTGCTTTTCCAACATTAAGGACAAAGATAAGTTGCTTTCCTAATAATTAAAATGGTGCTATTATCAGTTCCTTTCTTAACTAATATTTAGGACAAAAAGTGCTTTTGTATTTCATTAAAAACATTTCATTTATCGGACATTTAAAATATTATACATTTCATACGTACATGATGTATTTTGTTTGCAGCACCCTTCCTTAAAATTGTGCATTGGGGAGGTTATTTACCTGTCATTTTCTTGAATCCTTGTTCGATTTTTCTCGTTTTTCATTATAAAAATTATAAAGCAATGGGGGGGGGGAGTCTATACCTGTAATTTTTTAGAATCCATATTGGATTTGTTTCTCCTGGTGTTGATGATGTTTGTACAGATATCCAAAAAACGATTGGAGATCAGGCAGGCCGTCTTCAGCTCAGCAGTATCTTGGATATGGTATTTATAGTTTACTCGCTTGGGAATTCAGTGTTGGCAAGGGTACTCATAGTTACGCCCGCCGTTTGAAAGCATTTGGTAATAAGTTACTACATAAGCTGTTTCTCTATAAAAGTCGTCCCACTAAGCTCTTAAAACAAAGCTAACAACAATCAAAATTTGAGGCAAATCGGTCCAGGGGTTCATGAAATATGACCGGACATAAAAACAAACATAGATAGCTACTTTATTCTTTAAATACTAGCTACGGGACCCAGCGCAGCGTTGCCCAGGTTACTCATAGTTACTCCCACCGTTTACCCGCAATTGGTCGATTTTATCTGGAAACTAAATTTACGAGAAAAAAATCGACCCACTCAACTTAACATCTTAAAACCAAGCTAAGAACAATTCCATGACTCTTTAGAGTTCCCCAATCAAAATTTGAGGCAAATCAGTCCAGTGGTCAGTTGATGCAAATCAGTCCAGTGGTCGGACATACTAACAGATATTACAAATTAATTTACTTATATATACACTTTCTGCTGAACGTCAATAAGAATTATTTCTGAGAATACCTAGATGGCTGAAGATAAGATGAAGAACCTCTCTAGGGAGAGTTTGGCCGCCGAATCCGATCAAACTCTCAGTATTCTTGTCCCTCATAGAGAATACACCAGTAATCTTAATTTTTTTTTAAGTTGAAATATCTGAAAGAATAAGAATCTTCATTTTCTGAATTTAAATTAAAAATGTCAATGTTGTACATGGAGCTCAAATGTTACACATGTTCAAAGTAGGACAATTACATGTGCTTAATTCATGCATAATAAGGATAAAGTTATATCTGTGCCTGAGTTCCCTTCCCAATAGCCTGTCCTAAACGCAACAATCGGCCCCCTAGCCTGTTCTGTTGCAAAATACTATTGGTGATGTACATTGACAGAATGATGAGGGGGGGTATGTCACTAGGACAGACCCAAATTACATTCTTACGAGAAACTTACAGAAAATAGAACATAATGACTTACACCAAAATGAGGGGAACGCGACATGACTCGTTCAGAATTCTATTTAAATCGTTGTTAATTTCCAAACGAACTGTTGTTGTATCCCTCCCCATCCCCTTTATATTTGGTACTTCGAGCTCATGTGAGTAATTTCCTGGAGAACGATTTCTTGACCCCCCCCCCCCCCC